AGAGATGCCCTTCGTATAGTCACCCACACTCTTGTCATCTCTCGCCTGGATTACTGCAATGCCCTCTACATGGGGCTGCCCTTGGGGTGCACCCAGAGGCTCCAGCTGGTCCAAAACGGAGCCGCGCGGGTTGTTATGGGAGCTTCCCGTTACTCCCGTGTTACACCTCTCCTGCGCGAGTTGCACTGGTTACCAGTGGTCCTCCGGATCCGCTTCAAGGTGCTGGTGCTTACCTATAAAGCCCTTCATGGCATGGGCCCGGGGTACTTGCAGGAGCACCTACTGTCAGCCTCTCACCAACCAGCTCGCTCGCATAGGGCAGCCCTCCTCTGGGTGCCGACGGCCAGGCAATGTTGGCTGATGGCGCCCAGGATGAGGGTGTTCTCTGTGAACGCGCCGACACTCTGGAATGGTTTACCCACTGGGCTCCGCATGGCTCCCGACCTCCGGTCCTTCCGCAAGGACCTAAAGATGTGGCTTTTTAAACAAATCGCCTGACCTGCGGGGTGTTTTTAGTTTTGGTTTTAATATGGGTTTTAATTGTTGTATTTTTAATTAATCTAAATTAATTTATTTTTACTGTTCTACGATTTTAATCCTTTGTGAGCCACCCCGAGTCCTTCAGGAGAAGGGCGGCATATAAATTTGACCAAATAAATAAATAAATAAAATATTCAGTCAGAGTCTGTCACCTATCTGAAGTCCCACCATGAAGTAATTATCTCCAGCAATCAAAACTAAGGTGGATCTTCTTGCACACCTTTATTATTACTTAATATATTTTATTCAATTTCAATGACCTTGGATAAAAACAGGATATGCCTGCCCTCTAGTGGAGATTTAAATTGCACTGATTTATTTGAATAGTTATCAACACATGGCTGCTTCCAGGATTTGTCCATGAATACATTATGTGTTCTCTGCCTGGCTGGGACTATAAGAATTGGATGATTTTGCTGAATTCTTCAAAGAATGAGCTTTCCCACCAGTCCCAGAAAAGCCCCGATTTAACAAAAGAATACAACTTTTAAAACATGATGTTCTAGATTTGATCTTGGCACTTCCAGCTGGGACTGAGAAAGAAGCCCCTAGGCCTGTGATGGCGAACCTATGGCACGCATGCCACAGGTGGCACACGTACCCATATCAGTGGGCACGCGAGCTCAGCTCCGGCAGCTGATTTTCAGGCTTTCTGGGCCCACTAGAAATAGAGAAACAGGTTGAAACCTGCCTCCGGAGTGCCTCAGTGGGTGGTGGGGAAGGCCCGTTTTTCTCTCTCACCTGGCTCCAGAGCCCTTCTAGGAGTCTGAGGAGGGCAAAAACAGCCTTCCCCACCCACCTGGAGGTCCTCCGGAGGCCGAAAACGGCCTGTTTGCCAACTTCCTGTTTCTGGCCTCTGGAGGGCCTCTGTGGGGGGGGAAGGCTGTTTATTTATTTATTTATTTATTTATTTATTTTGTCGCATTTCTATGCCGCCCAGCTCCCAAGGGACTCTGGGTGAGGTTTTTGCCCTCCCCAGACTCCTGGAGAGGCTCTGGAGCCAGGTGTGAGAGAAAAACGGGCCTACTGGGCCATCGTGTGCCAGGAGCAGGGAGAGTGGGGGAGGGTCACACGCACATGTGTGGGGGCGGGGCGCATAGAATTATGGGTTTGGGCACGCGCACACACAATCCCCCCCAACCCCCCCTCCTGGCACGTGATGGCAAAAAGGTTAGCCATCACTGCCCTAGGCAGATCATGTGGCGATCCCTGATCCATGTCTAAGGCAGGGGTCTCAGAATTTGGCAACTTTAAGACTTGTGGTTTTCAACTCCCAAAATTCCCAGCTAACCATGCTATGTAAATTGAAACCAGAACAAAATGATCACATATAGTTTGCCTTTAACCTTGGGGTCCCCACTGTAGCATAGGGAGAAACCATGCGCCATGAATCCCCTTAGTTACCCACTAAATACCTTGCCCCACACAAGTCTTCACTTTTTTGGGGGGGGGGAAGGGGAAGTTGTCCTGCTGCTAAGCAAAAGAATCAGCCTCTAGCACTGCCTTCGGGGTGAAATCCGGCAGGTTCTGACAGGTTCTGGAGAACCGGTAGCGGAAATTTTGAGTAGTTCGGAGAACCGGCAAATACCACTTCTGGCTGGCCCCAGAGTGGGGTGGGAATGGAGATTTTGCAGTATCCGTCCCACAGGAGTGGGGAGGGAATGGGGATTTTGCAGTATCCTTCCCCTGCCATGCCCACCAAGCCACGCCCACCAAGCCACACCACACCCACCAAGCCACACCCACACAACCAGTAATAAAAAAAAATGGATTTCACCACTGGCTGCCTTGGTTTCGAAATATATCTTTGAGAACTAAATAGGCCCCATCCACTTAATGATGGGCAGTCATGGTCCCTCCTTTTATTTGTATGACCACCTATTCAGCAAAAGAAAAGCAGGGGGAGGCAAACAGATTAATAAAACTGAACACGTTCAGCAGGCTGATAGGAGTGAAGTTCGTTGCTTTCCTCTCTTAGATTGGTAGAGATTAACTAAAATTATTTACCCTTGATTTAGTACTGAAAGATGGGACAGTACAATGGGTGCAGAAACTGAAGTAGGATGTCCCCGTTTCAAATATCTTTCATGTAATTAACTTTCTATAAATTTAATTTGTCATGCTGACAACTTTCCAGCAGAGGGAACAAGATTGAAATAGAAAAGCTAGCAATAGCACTTAGACTTATATACAGCTCCATAATGCTTTGCAGCATTCTCTGGGTGGGCTTACAATGTCAGCATTGTTTGCATATTGCACCCAACAATCTGTGTCCTCATTTTACCGATCTCAGAAAGATGGAAGACTGAGTCAACCTCGAACCCCATCGGGATCAAACTTCAGGCTGTGGGCAGAATTAGTTTGCTGTATTCTAACTTCTGCACCATCAAGACTCCTAAAGCTGATATCTAGCTACTAAATTCTATCCTGTTATCAGAAAACTAACTAACAAAAGTTTTCATAATAAAGCTGCTGGAATGTGTCTGTCTGTCTGTCTGTTTATCTATAGTCCTTGACTTAAAACCATTCATTTTGCAACTGTTTGAAGTTACCGCAGTGCTGAAAAAAGTGGTGTATGACTGGTCCTCACACTTATGACTAGTCCTCACACTTATGATCCTCATAGCATCCCTTCAGTCACATGACTGCAATTCAGACGCTTGGCACTCTATTTTCAACTTTTTGTAACCACATAATATTCCCTGGATTATTCATGCAGATATGGCCATAGGACCTTCTACTGAAGTCAATGGAGAAATGCAATTTATTATTTTCAAAAATGACAAAATGTTGGTATTCTTAAATACTTTATTGGTATGCAATAGCACCGAAGTATCAGTTGTTAAGAAATCTAGCGTATTGACAGATATCTAATGTTTCATAATATAGTTTTATTGGTAGAAAATTAGAATGTCTGTCATATGATTAAGATTACGTTGGTATCCTGATATCCAGTCAAAGAACATAAATGCATAGCTATTTTATTATATTTACAAGTTGGGATGAATAGATTTCATCCATGGTTTTAAAGGATTTGGTGGAGTGGAAATGCTTCAACCAGACGTGTAATTTCGCCCTCCCCCCAAGAAGTCATTTCTCCTGGATGACTATTAGGTTACTAATCTCTATCCATCCATGTACTTGTCAACTTCTTTTGTCCTGGATCATGGGAATCTGCTGACGTGATCATGGCCTTATGGTCTAAATCCCACCTCTTCTGTGAGGACATCGGTCAATTTATATGAACAAGCCAATTTGTTTTGACGCTCCTTCCTTCAACTAATCTCTATTGGTTTTTTTTTTTAAAAAAAGAAGGCATCTCACTAAATGTTTATGACTTTTAATAATGGCTTTTAGACAGCCATCATATACATCCAAACCTGATTGAAAGCCCCATTGAACTCAATAGGAAAACTATATCTAGGTTAGAGTTATGGTTATGTGCAGTCAAGTTAGAGTTCACTGTTAATTGACCATAAAACAGACCTTGTCTGAATGATCTGTCCCCAACCTCGCCTTTTATTTATTTTATTTATTTTATTTTATTTTATTAAATTTATATACCGCCCTTCTCCCGAAGGACTCAGGGCGGTGTACAGCCAGAAATAAAACCATGACAGTAGAAAAATTTAAAACAATTTAAAACAATTAAATCAATTGGCCGAAAATTCTAATAAAACAACCCATTAAAATAGGAAAAATATTATTATTATTTAGGCCAGCCCTGCTTGTTGGAATGTTTTTAGGGCACGGCGAAAGGTACGCAGGTTGGGAATCCTATGAATCTCCAGGGGCAGCTCATTCCAGAGGGTGGGGGCTCCCACAGAGAATGCTCTCCCCCTGGGGGTCGTCAGCCGACATTGTCTAGCTGACAGCACCCGGAGGAGCCCCTCTCTGTGGGAGCGTACCGGTTGATGGGAGGCTATCGGTGGCAGCCGATGTCTTATAACTATGTATTGTGAGACTTTGGGTAGTACCTGGGTAGGAGACAACCATTGGAAGTCAGACTGGGTAGTCCAAACACATTCTGGAAGGAGGCAGGGGCAACTGTATTATTGCGAAAACCCTATCATGAAATGACTATGAAGTGACTAGAACTTAAGCTTGACCTGAAAAAACATAGATGCAGTGGTGGGTTTCAAATAATTTAACAACCAGCTTGCCCAGGGTCAGGTTGGCTATCATGGGAGCCGTGGCCCATTCCCGTCCTCCAGCTCCGCCACACATGTGGGACGAGCCTCATGCAACGGCCAACCTGACCCTGGGCAAACCAGTTGTTAAATTACACACACACACCCCCGCGCTATCAAAGTGGATCCTGGGTGCTGCAATGGAGAAACGGGCAACGGAGCGGCCGCCACGAGGGAAGGAGGAGGAGCAGGGAGAAGAAAGAGGGAAAGCGGCCTTCTCCTTCCCTCATGCTGGCTGCTCCGTTGCCTGTTTCTTCATTGCAGTGCAGTGCATCGCCCAGGGTCCACTTTGAAAGCGGGGTGATGGTGGTGATAATTTAACAACCGGTTCATGTGAACTGGTGCGAACCGGCTGAACCCCACCACTGTTTGGATGTATATCTTTTCATGTCAAGCTGAAATCCTAGCCACTTCATAGTCATTACTTCGTATATTATATATATGTGTGTGCGCGCGTGTGTCTGTGTATATATATGTATTAAATTTAATTAATTAATTGAATTTATTAAGTTTATTTGCTGCTGATCTCACCACAAGGATAGATAGATATTTATCAAATGTAATTGGTGGTTTTTTAAAACAACAACAACAACAAATTTAATCGCTACTTCTGAGCTCCTTGGAATTTTCTTGAGAGGCAGTCATTGATTCTTCCACGTGGCTATGATGGTCACTCAGATCCCTCTCAGCTGACCGGTCAATTTCAACACTTTCGGATGACTGATAACTATCCGGCTGGTCATTCTGATAATCTTTGGACTGGCGACTGTCATTCCGGCTATTTTCTTTACTCTCAGAGGATTGGCTGCTGTCACTTACATGGACTTTCCTCCCTGAGGGCGGCTTTTTATTATGCTGACTGTTCTTTTTCCTCAAAATCTCATGTCTGCGATGTTGCTTAGCTGCATAGCTTCTGTATATTCCAGTACTAACTTTAGCAGATTTTTTGCCTGCCTTTGGAACTTTTTTCTTCACGGTGGACAAAAAATGTCCTTGAGCTGCGAGGTGACCATTCTTTGGAATATGAGCAGCGTGTTGTATATTGCTATGAGATCCACGAGATAAAGACAGGGCAGCTTTCCCCCCGTGATATTCTGCCTCTGTGTTGGAAGATTCAATTGTATTTCTCTTCTTGAGTTCTGCAACAATTCCAGTGCCTACCTGGAAATGGATATTTTCTTTGTTATCGTTATCCATGTCTTGAAATGTAACACCAAATCTCTCTCGACTTTTCTTGTTCAATTCTGGATCGTTCAGCGTGACTCTATAATTTTTTTGGTTGATCTTTTCACGATTGGCAAGCTCTTTTCGAAAAGCTTTGGGGAAACCAACATCTCCTTTCGACTTTTCATTGGTGAAATCAACTTTAAGGGTAATTTTCTTGCTTTGTTCTTTTGCGTTAGGCTCTGATCTTCCATTGTCAGGAATTCTTGTAAGGAAAGTAGCTTCACCCTTCAGAGGTGGTTTGGCGATCACTTCAAATCTACCCACAAGACTGTTGAGCTTTCCATTCAACGTAACTTGATTTTTGTTTGTCGTATCTGGACTAACCTCTTGATTTATTAGCCTTCCTCTGACATCAACATTCCCATAATCCTTTTTATGTTTTCTGGAAGAGACAGCTACTTCCATATGCTTGTTGGACATGGAAGTAATTACATCTTCAGTTGTTCCATCTTTCTTATGTTCCTTGTTAACATTAGTTTCTTGCATACGGCTGATACTAATGATGTCGACGTTCGCTTCCACCTTTTCATGTGGCTTGCTAATTTTAGATGTATTCATTGGTCTATCCAATTTCCTAATGACAAGAGTGTCTTCATCTCCCTCTTTCTTGTACACTGTTGCATTGCTCATACTTTTTTCATGAGGTGCTTTAATTCCACTAGACTTTGAAACATTAATGTAATTGTTTCCGGTTCTTATGGGTTCAATTTTCTCCAGGAACTCAGTGGAAAGATTGCTTTGTACATCAAGATGACTAGCTAATTGGGAAGTTTCTCTGCCCTTTTTGCCCTTGTATAACAGATCGACAGAATTGCTTTCACCTTTGTCTGGCTGCTTCTTGGGAGCATCAGTTGACTCTTTCAGAAAGACCTTTGAGTAATCTTTCCTTTGAGGGGCCTTAGTTTTCTTAGGCACAGAAATGTTTATTTCTGGAGAGATTATGACATCGTTTTCTTTTACTCCAATTTTGATATCACTATGTTTTAATGGCTTGTTATTGTTGGCTACCCCAGAATGATTATCTTTCTCTTTCACTAGGACTGGGTAGTCTTTATCTTCCTCGTGGTCCTTATTACCAATAGTGACAGCATGATGGAAGTCAACTGGATCAGGGAAATGATGCCCGCTTCCTTCTATTTCACCAGTCATATATCCAGTAGAAAATTCATTCCTTCTTTTATCTTCAAAAAATTCTACAGGACGCTGGTCCAAATCCCACTTTCTAATGTTCCCATGATGTCCAATCAAATCCTGATTGTTTTCAGGAGTTCTTTCCAGACTGTTATTTTCTATTTCAGTTAAATACTTTTGCTTGTCATTTGTCACTTGTTCAATTTCAGTATGATTGTCAACCAGATCTCTGGATTCCGGCACAGGATCAAGAATAGGATTGGAAATATGCACATTGTCTTCCTTCTAAGTTGGATTTCCCCAAAAAGTAAAAAAATAAATAAATTAAAAACTGGTTATTTTGGCAAGAGAATACTATTATCTGGCTCATTGTTAACAGTGAACAAAGGCATTATTAATCATTAAGGCTAAGATAAGCAGAGGTGGTATTCAGCCAGTTATGACCGGTTCTGGAGAACTGATAGTGGAAATTTTGAGTAGTTTGGAGAACCGGCAAATACCACCTCTGACTGGCCCCGCCCTCATCTATTTGCTGCCTCCCGAGTCCCAACTGATTGAGTCCCAGCAGATCGTCTGGATCTTCTTTTGTTGCCCTGCACACGGAGCTGGAAAGCAGGTTAGTGGGGTGGGGTGGAAATGGAGATTTTACAGTATCCTTCCCCTGGAGTGGGGTGGAAATGGAGATTTTGCAGTATCCTTCCCCTGCCACACCCACCAAGCCAAGCCAAGCCACACCCACCAAGCCACACCCACAGAACCAGTAGTAAAAAAATTTGAATCTCATCACTGAAGATAAGGTCTAAGGAACAGAGTGGTGAAATTACTATCTCTAGTTATTTCCAGGGAAATAGTTCAACTTGGATTTTTAAAAAACAAAACAAATAAATAAATACTCTAAATGGCAATATCATTGCCAGGGTATGATGTTTCTGTGTTTCTTTCCTTTTGGCGTCCAAATACTCTAATAGTAATTGTTTTGATCGAGAACCTAACTCTAGAACCCTCCAGTCTTCAAAATTTCAGGGCTACTGTATAGTGAATTAAAAGCTGCTCGTTTTATTTCTTGCACTTTTGTTTTCTCCTCTAAGCTTGCTAATTGCCTATGTAGATAAGAATAGTTGTAGACCAGTTTCTTTTGTTGGAAAGAGAAAACGATGGTTTAGAGAGGTGAATCTCTGATCTGCAGGCTACATATGGATTCTGACAGTTCCCCGTCCAGTCTGCCAAAATCTGATCGGCTGCTGTCCTGCTCTCCTTATAACCAGGAAATCAGGAACTTGATCAGGAGGTGTGATGGTTTGTGAAAATCACCTTGGGAGACGTGGCAAAGAGATGCTGCCTGGTGAATGGTTAGATAAGAGGTAGCATAGCCCACAACTGCATAGTGGGCAGAACAAGAGGTCCAGGAGAGACCCTTTCTAAGTTCTCAGACTGTAAAGGTAATGGTGGGGAATTGTAACAGAACCGAATAACACAGTTGGAAGGGACCTTGAAGGTCTTCTCGTCTACCCTCCTGCTCAGGCATACCATTTCAGACCAATGTTTGTCCAATCTCTTTTTTAAAAGTTCCAGTGTTGGAGCATTCACAATTTCTGGAGGCAAGTTTTCCAGGGCTGTCTTAATGCATGGGCCTGATGGGCACTTGCCTATGGGCCTCACAAGCATAGGGGCCCCATACTAATCTGTGTATGTTAACCCTTCAATGCACCTTGTGTCATATAAATACAGCAACATATTTATTATATTTTTACTGCATTTTTAAATTAATACTAACATGAAAATATATGTTTAATTTTATTGACCATTTACATTTTTTTAAAAATTTGATTTATATGCCGCCCTTCTCCGGAGACTCAGGGCGGCTTACAATGCGTTAAGCAATAGCCTTCATACTTTTGTATATTTTTACAAAGTCAGCTTATTGCCCCCACAAACTGGGTCCTCAATTTACCTACCTTAGAAAGGATGGAAGGCTGAGTCAACCTTGAGCCTGGCAAGATTCGAACTTACTAATTGCAGACAGCTGGAGTTAAATTACAATGCATTAGTCTGCTGAGCTATCCAGGCTCATCCAGGAATTTTTATTCCTGTGTGTAGTTGTCGTAGGGGCACTGCTTTGCCCGGGGCCCATAATGCTGTTAAGATGGCCCTGAATTGTTCCACTGATTAATTGTTCTAACTGTCAGGAAATTTCTCCTTAGTTCTGGGTTGCTTCTCTCCTTGATTAGTTTCCACCCATTGCTTCTTGTCCTGCCCTCAGGTGCTTTGGAGAATAGCTTGACTCCCTCTTCTTTGTGGCAGCCCCTTATGGTAGATCAGGGGTGTCAAACTAGCGGCCCACCGGCCGGATGCGTCATGTGCAGGCCATGCCCACGCCAGCTCCGCAAATGGGAAAAACATCACAAAGTGTCACATGACAACGTGACATGGCCAATATCTAAGGTTCCTTAGATATTGGAATACTGCTATCATGTCACCTCTAGTCCTTCTTTTCATTAAACCAGACATGCCAGTTCTAGCAACCATTCTTTATAAGTTTGAGCCTCCAGTCCCCTAATCATCTTTGCTGCTCTTCTCTGCCCTCTTTCTAGAGTCTTAACTTCTTTTTTACATTGTGACGACTGAAACTGGATGCAGTATTCCAAGCGTGGCCTTACCAAGGCATTATAAAGTGGTACTAACACTTCACATGATCTTGTTTCTACCCCTGTGTTAATGCAGCCTAGGACTGCGTTGGCTTTTTTGGCTGCTGCAGCACAGAGCTGGCTTATATTTGTACTTACAAGCATTTGTACTTAAGAAGCCTTGGTGGAGCAGCGGACTAAAGCACTGTTAAAGTAGCACTTAGCTGCCAGCTGCCTGCAATTACTGTGAGTTCAAATCTCACCAGGCTCAAGGTTGACTCAGCCTTCCATCCTTCCGAGGTAGGTAAAATGAGGACCCGGATTGTGGGGGCAATAAGCTGACTTTGTATAAAAAAAGGACCCTGCTTAGGGGGGGCCGAAAGCCCTACTAAGCAGGTATATACAAAAGTATGAAGGCTATTGCTTAATGCATTGTAAGCTGCCCCGAGTCTCCAGAGAAGGGCGGCATATAAATCGAACCAATAAATAAATAAATAAATAAATAAATAAATAAACTTACAGATCAGTGGTGGGATTCAAAATTTTTTACTACTGGTTCTGTGGGCGTGGCTTGGTGAGCATGGCAGGGGAAGGATACTGTAAAATCTCCATTCCCTCCCCACTCCTGGGGGAAGGTTCCTGCAAAATCCCCATTTCCTCCCGATCAGATGGGACTCAGGAGGCAGAGAATAGATGGGGGTGGGGCCAGTCAGAGGTGGTATTTACCGGTTCTCTGAACTACTCAAAATTTCCGCTACCGGTTCTCCAGAACTGGTGAGAACCTGCTGAATACCACCTCCGTTACAGATTTGCAAAATTCTGTTAATGAAAGTTTGCAATAAAGTAGAATTAAGTCATCTAGTTATGTTTCCAGTGTGGTCGGTCTGGGAAGGCTGACATCTGACTGAAAATTCCCTTGGCAACATCTGTTTGCCCAGTTGACCCCGTCCCCCAAGGCCATTCCCACACACCATTATAGCAATGGATAATGGCTCCTTTCCATCCCTGACTCCCAAGCTCCCCACAGACTTTTTTAAAAAAATCCTGAATGCAACATGGGGATGTGGTAGCAGTGGGAAGCACTGGTTGGGAAGTGTAGGAATTTAGCATCCACCCCTCTCCTAGAAAAATGAAATATTGTAGGAAATATTAAAAGGGCAGAATATTTTCCCCAAAAGGGAGGCAGAAACTCAGTGCCCCCACCTTTGTCAATGGGCCATTAAGGCCTGGGCCAGTCTATTCTACATAACAAAGATCTACCTCCTTCAGGCAGAGCCATAATAGGAATCCCAAAGCCTTTTCATTACATCATCACCCAGCAAGAGTCAACCAAGCTTGGGACTCAGGACAGCCTACAGAGTTGCCCCTGCATGGCCCTATGGGAGTCTGACAACCAATCGGAATACAAGCTCAAATTCAAAAGTCCAGAGAGGGTATAAAACTCAGGCACTCTCAGCATCTCTTCCTTTTTTTTCTCTTCACCTAAGATCTTCAAGGCATGTGATCCTGTCTACCATTAAAAACCATCTTTCCAAGCAATCTCCATGTTTCCAGTGTCTTTCTTCCCCATTTGGAACTGAACCCAGATGGACATTTCTTCCAACAGAAGAAAGAACATTACCTATCCTTATTAAATAAGATAACCCCCCCCCTTTTTTTTTGTTGGGATCAATTTTAAAATATTTTCCCTGCAAGACTTTACACTTTAGAAACAACTATTGCTACCTTGCCGGTCAAACCTGCTTTACAGATAGTAGATGTAGCATCTACAGCACATAGAAATTCTTGAATGAAATTATACAGCCTTGGCATATGTGCGATGATAAAAATGGAGTTAAAGAAAAAAAAATGCACAAATAAAAACATTATTTTACCTTAATCTGTGTTTGATTGTTTGGCTTTGAAGAGGAATACATATAATTGAATATGTAAAACCCATGCTTGGAATGACGACTTTTGACTGTTATCTGTGGACAAGAGAAATCAAGTGTTAGAAGCAGTTTTTTGAGCTTTTAAGAATAGAAGAGGTCAACTTATACCCTACGTTACTTTTGATTTGAAAGCATCAAGTCACTTTCCTGAACTTTGATTTCTATTTATTTCAGCCATGGGCAGGAGGAAAAATAAAACAGAAACCAAAGTTGCATTATCAACAGTATTGGTGATGATCATAGATAAACACATTCAAGTTTCCGCTCTAAGATCGTAGTTTGTATCAATTTTTTACAGATTTAACTTTTCTCTGATTTTCTGGAAATTATTAGTACCACTAGAGGGCAGACTTAATCTTTTTTCCCATCCAGACTTGATTTTGTTGTTATAGAAATATGTAAAATAGATTTCCTAGTGTGAGCACCAAAACAATGTTTTTAAATGCTGTAAATCTCAGGGGTTTCTCAAATCTGTTAAGATTTTAGTGAACTCAATGAAAATAATCTCAGATTTTAGGAAAGAACATTACTGCTGTTTTTTTTTATTATAACCTCATTGTTTCATTAAAATAAATGAATTTTTAAAAATCCAAGAAACTTGCAAATAAATACAGAATGCATTATTAGAACCACTTGAAATACTTGAAATGAATTTTGAACTCTTCAACATTCCAGCGGCCAAAGTAGCAGAATTGCTTCTTTATTGGAGAAGACCTGGCCTCACTTAAAAATCTATTCTCATTGAGATAACTCAGAAGAGATAGAAACATGACTCCATCTTGACGTGGTGGTGTGATGGTTAGAATGCAGTATTGCCGACTGCCAGCAATAGACTGCAATTCTGCCAACTGCCAGCAGTTCAATTCTAACCAGTCAAAGTTGATTCAGCCTTCCATCTTTCTGAGGTCGGTAAAATGAAGACCCAAATTGTTGGGGCCAATATGCTGACTCTGTAAACCGCTTAGAGAGGGCTTTAAATCAATGTGAAGCAGTATATAAGTCTAAGTGCTATTACTATTGCTATTGACATGGAATTGTTTGATTCAATTAACAAATGCCTTGAGTTGAATTAGCTTTTAGTGAACTGAGATTCAGAAAGTAGGACATTTCATATTGTGGAAATGCATATTTAATAAATCTTGAAATGTATATTTTTCTCTCTCTTCTTTGCTTGCACAGACTTGTAAAGATTTGTACAAGTTGTACAGAATGTACAGCAGCGCCTCTGAAAGCTAATTATGATTCTGTCCTGAGGTCATGGCTGCTGCAGTATCTCTGTGGTTGTTCATCCATATGACCTACTGCAAGGATGCTGCAGTGCCCCCCCATCTCCCACCCCCATCCCCCACACTGGATTCCCACAGGCATTAGACCTGCTTGCCATTCCATTGGGCTCCACATCTTCCTCTTCAATTATCTTTCCTAGATGTCTGGGAAAGGGGAAAGCTGGCAGAGACCCTACATAGGGAAAAGGAGGTTCAAGAACTATGGGGACCCCAAGGGGTAGAAAGTGAAGCAAGGGGTATCTCAGAGGTTGTGGGAGGCATTGGTAAGCCCAGAGCAGGTGGATGTGGGCCTCCCCCTGCCTCCCTGACCCTGAGGAATCCTGTGTTCCATTGAACAACCCAGTATGGTCATTTAACAACCGCATCAACCACATCAGGAAGAGCAGGGAGTCAAGGGCATTAAGTGAGGCCATCTCACTTAGCCATCACCTCTTGTGACTGTAATGGGCAGGCTCCAGTGATGGTATTCAGCCGGTTCAGACCGGTTCGGGCGAACTGGTTCTTAAATTGCTGGATGGCCCCTCCACTCCCCGGCCCTTCCAGGAGTCCCCACGTGCCCCATTTTGGCTCCCTACTAGGCCAAAACAGGGCACAGGGGTGCAGCCTGGCCCCCGCAGCCCATTTTTGCTCCCAGGGGGGTTCAGGAGGCCGAGTGCTGCCTGGGCCATGCCCACCATGGCCACACCCACCCAGCTGGTCATTAGGGCAGAGAACCGGTTGTTAAATTATTTGAATCCTACCACTGGCAGGCTCCATTACGGTTGTAAGTCACGGACTACCTGCATTTCTTTATTAGCAAGAAATACGGTAGGTGGAAACTATATTTTTGTCACAGCAATTGTTAAACTTACCTGATGTTCCCCAACACATTTCTGCTTTCCTTTTCTGTAATGGGTGTGAAGCTCCTGGAAGAAAATGGAGGAGACCGAGAATGACAAAATCATTCATCACCAAAGTTAATAATTTCATGTCTTGTGCTCAAGGTAAGGTGCACAAATTTTGGAGGGGCTGAGATAATATGCTACAAAAGTTGGTTGTAACCAGGAGAAAGAATTGGACGGAGTCAGAATAAAAATGGAATTTGATTGAATTTCAGTGTAAATGAAGAAAGCTTCAATTCTATACTTTTTTATAATTACAATTTTTAAAAATAATTATAATTACAAATAATTCCCTCAACACTGTCAAACTAGTTACTAAGTCTGCATTACTATTAATCTTCTCATTGTTCCTATCACCCATCTCCTGCCACTTATGACTGTATGGCTGTAACCTTGCTGCTGGTATCCTTAAGATTTATATTGACTGTTTCCCTATGACTATCATTAAGTGTTGTACCTTATGATTCTTGACGAATGTATCTTTTCTTTTATGTACACTGAGAGCATATGCCCCAAGACAAATTCCTTGTGTGTCCAATCACACTTTGTGTTGTAGCCCGCCAGCGGCCTGCGCGGATCGTGGCTGATCCCGACAACGAGGAGGCTGGTGTGGTGTCGCGCTAGCAGCCTGCACAGCCGGCGCTCACGTCGGACAGCGAGGAGGCTGAAGAGGATGTGGTGCCAGCCAGGGCCTTCAGAAGAGGCTTCTTCAAGTGGAGAGAGCGAAGTGGAGGAGACTCTCCTCAATGCTCAAGCACACAGGGCTCCCAAAAGGCAGGAGTGGCTACTCAGGAGGATGGTGGTGTTATTAGCCATCAAACCTCAAAAATACACTTTTCCCAAAAGTTTTCCACAATTTTGGCCACTATTGTACCTATATGCAAGATTCTGGGTATTTCCCCTTCTTGCCCTAATCATTGCACAAATATTATTCCAGCCTTTTAGCAGCCTTGATGTCTTTCAGATATATTACATTACAGCTGAACTATTGACTCTGTTAATGAATGGACACTTACAGTGGAAGAGTTAGCATAGATGGACACAGGAATCTTAGCGTAATACATGTAACAGTGTTTGGAGGACAGAGCTAAAGAAACCTACTGCATATAAACCATACAAACTCTTCAGAAGTAGGCTTACGACTGCAACTTAAAATTACCGATACTTACTGACTGTGCCCAAGCGAGGCTGCAGAAGCAAAAATACAGCAGGACAGCCTTCATGTTAAGAATTCTCTAAGGATAAAGCAGAACAACGCAATACCGTTTACTGTTCATGTTAGTCAGCTAGCTAGCTCCAGGATGTTTTTATTTTTATGTTTAAGTATCATTAGCATGCCATTTCTTCTTTTGATAAACTGGTTCAGTAAAGTAAGTGGAAACCACATGTAAAGAATAGAGTAGAGTAGAGTAGAGTAGAGTAGAGTAGAGTAGAGTAGAGTAGAGTAGAGTAGAATAGAATAGAATAGAATAGAATAGAATAGAATAGAATAGAATA